CCCGAGGGCCCCTTCCCGGGCCCCCTGGGGGACGTCAGCGGCACGGGGACCCTGTCCCACAGCTACCGCTATGAGGTGTGTCTGATGGGAGGTTCTTCTGGGACCAGCGATTTCAAGTTCTTGAAACCGATTGTTCCCAATAACCTGATTCAAGACACCTAATAGGTCCATTGCAAAATATAAACTGGAGGAATAACTTCCATTTCAGTAGGATCATAAGGTAGCTGTCAATGGATGTTTTCCTTGTATTCAAAAATTGATTTTACTTTTATGTAGTTACATACCAACTCATATTTTCCTGTTTTCATCTGCTTGCTGTCTTATAGAATCATAATGCCTCTTTTTCTTTTAGTAATAGGAGAGCAAAATTAAATTATCTTTAGTTACTTCAAATGTTTATTTAAGAATGCATTTCAGGGCCAGGGATTTAGCTTAGCGGTTCCGCCCCCTGCTTTGCAAGCGCAAGGTCCCAAGTTTGGTCCCCGGTACCAAAAAAAAAAATGCATTTCAAATTCTGTATTTCAAAGCAGAGTAAACAGTTGCTAAGCACCAATTTTATGGTATCTTGTTGAATATACCCACATAACGTGCTTTACGAAGCACGTTAAAGCAGTTTTGCTCATTGTTAGTGAGGTTTGTTCATAAATGTTTTCTTTAAGATATAGTAACTCACCATGTCGTTACAGCACAGGTCTCAAATAAGATATTTAATTCCTTCTTTGTATTGACATTAAAATTAATATTTCACATGGAATATTATTGTATTTGACAAAAAAATAGACCAACATATAGGCAAACACAGCAAATCACTTCTAAGATAATTACTCTTTAGGGCTCCTTAGTATGATGACTGAAGAAAATTAAACCTAAGCCATTTTGAACAACTGATTGTGCTTTCCATGTTGCATGAAACATTATTTGGTAAGGTATGTGGTGGGGTGATTATTTGGTTTGTAAATTTTGGCTTGTAAATACCTGAATGCCTTTTTCTAATTTTAAGAAAATACACAGATGCATGATCTCTCAATGCTTTATTGCAAAAGTAGTGTTCCATACAGTATTAATATATGTGGTAACTTATGAGGGAAGTATTTTCTTTGCTTTCTGTCTTGGTTCCCTCCTTCATATTGCAATCTAACAGGATTTAGAATTATTGTGGTCCTGGTGGGATAATAGCTTTTCATGGGCATCTGCATTCTATCTCCTACATTGCAATTTAAACAGATGTACAAGAATGGGAAGTTCTAAAGGGAAGAGAACAATGCTATTGTGAAAGTCTACATTAGCTGCAACTAAACAAAATCTGGAATCAACCAAAATGCCAAATCATATGGCTATTTTGAGTGGAATAGAAAAGTTTATTTCCAAGTAACTAAATCTTTAGTCCTTATTAGAGAAGTTAGGAAGGAATAAATTTTCCCCTATTAGGTGTTCTCTCATTTAGAGAGAGAGAGCTTTCTAGGAATTGAATACTTATGACTGGAATAAAGGGAACTGGAAAAATCAAAGATTTTGCAAATTCCTAAAAGGGAAAAAGAATTTAAAATTGACCTGCCTTAAATCACAGTTTGAATGTAGTTATTATAACATTTAAATGGTGCTGGGCCCTAAATCACATTTTGAGTGTCTTTATGATCACATTGATACTTCTATTAAATTTTGGTTATTTTTATGATATCAAAATCAATTGAAATTTGCAACATCCCAAGGGCTTAAAAGACTTTCATGTGGCCAGTCATTCACTAATTTTAGAAACACAATTCTGAATAGTACGCATTCTCTTTTTCTCTAAAAACACATAAATTCAGAAATAATTTCATTCCTTAATGAGTTAAAGTCAAGTTTTCAACACTGAAAAAGCAAAGGGGTAAATGAATTGTTTTTTGGGGTTTTTTTTGGTACCGGGGATCTAACTCAAGTCCTTGCACTTGTGCAGCAGGCAGCGAAACCACTGAGCTAAATCCCCGGCCCCATGTAACTGAATTTTAATTTCCCATGTAGGGTTGTTATAAGATCTATACTCAAATATCAGTCATATTTCTATTATTCAAATATCAGTTAATTATAGTAAAATAACTCACTATAATTTCTGTAAGTCTGCCTTTATCCTTAAATGGTTCTTCCTTGCAAATGTGATTTTTTTAAATAACAGTTTTCCCATATATCCCACTATTTTGTTCAGAGAGGATCTTTGCTTCATAGATTGTTAGAGATTTTTTAAAAACCAGAAATCTACTGGTCATACTTCAAAGCTATTGTTATGTCAAATGCATATTTGGTTAACCAATACTTTGGTTGGCATTGACTTAAAAAATTAAACTCAATTCCTTTCATTCTTTTGATATTTAACATTGTTGATGAAAAGTATGATCTCAGTTTGTTTCTGTCTCTTTATTGTCTTCTAGGTTATTTTCTCTCTGTCTGTCTGACTGTCTATCTGTCTGTCTTTTGAGAGAGGGTCTCACTATGTAGTTCAGGCTGCTCTTAAACTCGCTATGTAGCCCAGGGTGGCCTTGAACTCCTGGTGATCCTCCTGCCTCAGCCTCCTGAGTTCTGGGATTACAGGTGTGCACCACCACGACTGGCTATTTTCTCTATTCTTTTTTTTTTTTTTTTTTTTTGGTACCGGGGATTGAACTCGGGTCCTTGCACTTTTGAGGCAGGTAGCAGAACCACTGAGCTAAAGCCCCGGCCCTATTTTCTCTATTCTTGAGAGCTTGTTTGGAGGTAATAGCAGGGCAGCATAGCTTCTTGTATACCCTTGACCTAGGAAACAAAATGGTCCTTCTTTATCGCGGGGGGGGTTGTCCTCTTTGACTGAGCAGCTTTGGGAAGGATGCACATGGAGCAGTGAGAAAGGAAGGGGACACCCACCCACTCAGTCAGATCAGCCAAATCAACCCTTTGAATCAATGGGGTGACAGATGTCACAGCCAGATTGCTCTCACATCCAATTTTTTCTATTCTTGCTGCTTCAATATTTGCTAGTCTCCAGCCCAAGATTCACGTAATATACTGCATTTTAGCTGAATGATTATCATATTCTTTTTCAAATTTTCTATATGGTAGATTTTCAAAAGAACTTATATTTATCTCATAATTACTATTTTCTTCTTTTTATATGTTTTTTACTTTTAAATTCTTTCCATATCATTCTGAATCAATTTCTTCTGGTAGAGAAACAACTCTTCTATTTGATCAGTCTGTTTCTCATGGTGTTAATCTTCCTCATATACTTAATGATTTTTTTGAGAACTTGTCTTCTACTGGAGGTTTCCTTCACACTAACATGTACTGGTTTTGATAGTATTGAGGTAAGGAGGAACAGGTGTCTCAAGGTGTTTCTAATTCTGGCTTCTTCAAATCAAGCCATAATTAAGAAGCTTTGTTCAAATTTGAAATACACAGGCAAAAGTGCCCCACTAACCTCTAAAGATGTGTCTGAGCTGGGGCAAAGCTCTTGGATGGGTGTTATGATTTAGATCAAAAATGTTCCCTAAAGCCTCATGTGTTTGGAGGGATAGTGGGTCATTTCATATTCGGGCACTATATTCATCAGTGGATTCATCCATTGCTGAGTTTGGTAGCTAAATGTGCTGTTAAGAGATGGGGCCTGATTGGAGGTGGTTCACTGGGGCATTACCTGGAAAAGTATATTCTAGTTCCTGGCTCCTTCCTCTCTCTCTCTGCTCCTTAGCTGCCTTGGTATTAAGAGCTTTCCTCCATCATATTTCCCACCATGTTGCTTCTGTTTTGGTGCCAGCCAACCATAGATGAAAACCATGAGCTAAAATAAATCACTTTTCTTTTTTAAGTTATGGGCGTCAGATATTTCATTCCAGTGACAGAAAGGTGAATAAAACAGAGAATCACTCTGTATTTTCTCTGTCAGGCAAAAATTTCAGGGAATGTCACCTTTTTCCTCTTGGTTGTCATGATGTCTGCCAAGGCTAAAGACATGGAAGCTAATGGAGAAATGTTTTACTTTTCAGTCTTTAGAGTAAATAATCTGGTTTTGAAGAAAAGTAAACTGTAACTGAAGTAACTGATGCATGAGGACTATATGGGAAAAAATCATGGTGTTGATTCAGGTAATAAATATGCATGATAATGCTACTAGAATAACGTAATCCCAGATTCCTCTTCTGAAATTATGGTTGCTTTTTTGTTTTTAGAAAATGGCAAGGGACTCTAGTGATAATGCAAAATGATTTTTTCCTTCCAAGACAATCTCCTCTTCATGAACCCATCTGTCAGAATTACTATTCTGTTAACACAGTTCAGAGCTAAGTACCATTTCTGTCACCAGTATGAAGCCATGTATCAGAAATGCAGCAATTATTCTCTGACATTGTCAATAATTCCCTGACCCAAACTTCATGCACACTACCTTCTTAGTCCACAATAAAACCACTCCTACTTTGTATATAGATATTTCCCAAAACAGAAACTAGGACTGAGGACTGTAGAATATGCTCAAGCACAGTAATATATGTGTACTTGGAGTCCCAGTAGGAGATAAAAGAGATAAAAGAACAGAGAAAAACAGTTAAAGAAATCATGGCTGAAAACTTTCCAAATGTGAAGAAAAACATTAATCTGGACAACCAATGAGCCCAGTGGACTACAATTGGGAGAAAATTAAAGAGATTCATCTTGTGAAACATCACGAGCAAACTGTGAAAGACAAAGGGAAAAAGAGAATCTTGAAAACATCAAGACAAAAATGACTCATCGAAACTTAAGTGACTCATCACATACAAGGGATCCTCAATAAGATTAATAACTGGGATCTTATGGAAACCAAGGGTCAGGTGTAGTGGCACATGCCTGTAATCCTGGAACTTGGGAAGCTGAGGCAGGAGGATTGCCATGAATGTAAGTCCAGCCTGGGCTACATACTGACTTCAAAGGTCACCCAAACTGCATAGTGACACCGTATCTCAAAAAACTAAAAATAGAAAAGAACCCAGAGAGGCCAGAAGGCAGTGGGATGACACATCCAATGTACCAAAGGAGTCTATCAACCTAGGAAGGGAGGACAGGGGAAGGGGGGAAAATTTTTTTTTTTAAAGTACATGTTTAAAAAAAAAGTCTATCAACCAAGAAGTCTATATCCACTGAAATGAAAGAGAAATTAAGACAGTACCAGGTTTAAAACTAACTGAATCCAATGTTAGCAAACCTGTCCTATAAAAAATGATAAACATAGTCATGTGGGGGTATTAACAACAAGAGAAAATAATACCATCATTTGCAGTAATGGATAGTATAACCAAATAAAATATCATCATGAATAAAACTTGAATAACATTAAAAACTAACTATACTTAAGAGAACATTTTACCCAACAACAGCAGGATACACATTCTTCAGAAGCTCATATTGAATATTCTCCATGATAGATTGTATATTAGGTCATAAAGGAAGTCTCAATAAATTTACAGGATTGATGTCATGCAAATTCACAAATATATGGAAATTAATCCATTTCTAAATAACAGTTATCAAGGAAGAAATCACAGGGGACATTATAAAATACTCTGAAATGAATAGGAAAAAACATACCGAAACTTACAGTGTGTAATAAAATCTGGCTGAGGAAAAAATTTATAGCTGAAACAAAAAGCTCTCAAAAAAATAACTCTAGTTAAACTAGAAAGGAGAATATACTAAACTCAAAGCAAACAAAAAGAAATTAGAAGACTAGAATGGAGATAAATGAAATAGAATGTAAAAAAATAATAGAGAAAATCAACTGAACCAAAAGTGTTAGTGCTTTGAAAAGATAAATAAATTTGGCAAACTTTTAGATTTAATCAAAAAATGGAGGGTGTGACTTAATTTACCAGCTACATAAAAAAGAAAAAAGGGAATTATGTGGGAATACTATGAACATTTTTAGGCCAACAAATTAGAAAATCTAGATGAGGGCCGGGGATTTAGCTCAGTGGTTCTGCCGGCTGCCTCCCAAGTGCAAGGTCCCAAGTTTGATCACCAGTACCCAAAAAAAGAAAAAAAGAAAAAAAAAAGAAAATCTAGATGAAATGGGAAAAAAATTCCTAGAAAGTACAAACTGCCAAAACTGACTAAAGAAGAAATAGAAAATGTGATTAGAGAGATAGTAAGACATTAGGTCAGTAATCAAAAGCTTTCTACAAAGTAAGACCCTGGATAAGATAACTTCACTGATTAGTTTTATCAAACATTTAAAGAAGAATCAACTCAATTTTTTATAAACTCAATCATAAAACAGAAGAGCAAGGACCACTTTTCAGTTCATTCTACAAGGCCAGTACTACCCTAATAATAAGACAAATACAATACAAGGGAAGAAACCCATATGACAATTTCCCTCATGAATATAAAGGCAGAAATCCTCAACAAAATATCAGCAAACTGACCAGTAACATAGGAAAAGATTATGAACCATAGCCAACTAAGATTTATCCCAGGAATGTAATGTTGGTTCAATAAACAAAAATCAATCAACAGGATAAAGGACAAAACCAAACAATCATCTCAGTAAATTCAGTAAAGCATTTTACACAATCCAACACCATCTTATGATAAAAAGGAAACAAATTAGGAATACGAAAAATCTCAATATTATAAAAAGCAACTAAAAAACTCCACAGATAATCACACCAGGATATTTGCTCTCCCTGCTTCGGCTTATAACCAAGGCAATTAGGAAGTAAAAGGAATAAAATTATTTAGGTTAGAAAATGAATAAATGAGCTATGTATATTAGCAGATGACATTTTGTATATCTTGCACATACAAAATCCTAAGGAGCCCACAAAATACTGAAATTAATAATTTTAACAAATTTTCAGGATACAAGATCAGTTTACAAAAATCAATTGTATTTCTGTACACTAGTACTGAACAACAATGAAATTAAGTAAAAATTTCACTTATAATAGCATTGAAAGGAACAAAATGCTTAGAAATAATAAAATAAGATGGAGACACACTGAACACTAGAAAACATTACTTAATTGAAAGAAAACCTAATTAGGAAATGTTCATGGATAGAAGACTTAGTATTGCTTAAATAGTTGTGTTCTCAAATTGGTCTACAGGTTCACAAAAATCCATATCAAAATCCCATTTTGTTTTTTTTGCAGAAATTGGCAAACTAACTCTAAAATTCATGTGAAAACACAAAAGATCCAGAATAACTAAAATAATCTTGAAAAAGAATAGAGTTGAAGGATCACAATTTCTGATTATAAAAAAGGTATTCTAAGTTAGAAGACAGATACCGAAGATTTAAACATATGAATACTATAATTTTATTTACTATATACATGAAGGAATTATTAGAATTTGCCTTAGACTCTATCACAAATTTTTCAAGTCAAACTCTAATGATTCAAATATCTCATTTCTATATTTGCATTTCAGTGGGTGTTATATTTAAAAATATATATGTTTAACTTTGGAAGGTTAGCAATATTAAAATTTAGTTTGCTTTCACCAGCTACCCTCAGCACTGCTATTTTATTCAAATGGCCTTGTGATGAAGCTAAAGTATCCATCTGTCTGTCTGTCCATCTCTCTATCTCTCTAATAGAACATTCCTAAAGACAATTTCTTCTATAAAAATTTATAATAAATTCAACAAATTACAGATATTATTGATTATTATTAGCTTACCATTTTGAAATAATATTACTAACAATATGATTTAAGGAACTAGTAACACTAAACTCTAATTCCCAGGGGACAAGGGAATGACTCAGTGGTACAATGCTCACATTCATTAAGCCTTTGATCCTAAGTAAGACACAAACACACATACACTGAATTCCTTTTTTCTCAACAATTAATATTTAACATCTCTCTACTTTTGCTCTTCAAATTAAGAAAAAAATCTCTTAAGTCATCATGCAATTTAAAAATCCGTTTTTTAAAAAACAGTGGAGGGCAGTGGCACATGCCTGTAATGCCACCTACTTGGGAAGCTAAGGCAGAAGGAAAACAAGTTGGAGACCAGCCTAGGAAACTTAGCAAGACCTTGTCTTAAGATTTAAAAAGTCTTAAGTGGGCTGAGGATGTATCTCAGTAGTAGAGCACATGGCTAGGATGTACAAAACCCAGAGTTCAATCCCTATTACCACTAGCAAACAAAAAAGATTAATATTTTGAACTTGAGGACTATTTTTATTCAAATTTCCATTAAAATATTTTTACACTTTCTTTGGTGATGTTTAAAATTCTTACCTATATATTACTAGGAAAGTGTTAAAGCTGCTATTTAATTCCTTGAATACTATTCCATCTCTCTTTGTATATTTAAAATGGAAAAATATTTTAAACATTATCCTTTAGATCTAGCAATCAATTATGTAGTCATAAGAATCCTTCAGAATGAGTAATACAGCTTACTCATTGAAATGGAATACTTTTAGGTGATTATTCTTTGTTATTGAACACTTGTATAAGAATTAAATATAACTTTTTCTCAGTAAGTTTTGCAGTTTGGGTGAATAATCTATAACATAATATGCTAGGCCACCTTTCTAAACCATCCTCCTGGGCTGTAACTTTAAATCATTTATTGGAACTAAATAACATTTTAAAAGATTGGTACAAGGTGGGCACAGTGGGACACATCTGTAGTCCCAGGTACTTGAGAGACAGGGGCAGGAGGACTGCAAATTCAAGACCAACCTGGGCAATTCAGCAAGACCCTATCTCAAAGGGGGGGCTGGTTTTAAGAAGGGGAGGGGAGGGAAGAGAGAGGAGGGGAGGGAGAAAAGAAGGAACAAAGGAAAGCATCTATATAGATCTTTTTCTTCAATATTTACGGCCACCGGAAATTCACTATACGTGTCATCCTTATTTTTTCCACTTAATGATCTCAGCAAAAATGCTGACTATTCATTTTCCTTCTAATTTCTATGTTGGCTAACCATCTTTCTTTGCTGGTAACTATCTCTTCAGATAGCATTTTAAAGATCCTAAATAATAACTGAGAACATGAATATAAATATATTTCACCTATGACATCTATGTACCTAAGCCAAGGCTGATACTTGGGTCTACGGTAAATTATCTAAAAAGTCTTTCACTTTTTCAATCCCACTCACTTGGAATATACAAGAGTGGGCTCTGGGCCAACAATATAACAGCTCAAGTCCTGGCTCTGCCATTGCTCATGGCATATGAGTATGGGCACATTATTTAAACTCTCTGCACCTCAATTCCTTCATAAAATGTGACTAATAAAGGCACCAACCTCATAGAGTTGTTTGGGAGCTAGAATAAGTTAATATATGTAAAATGTTTACAATAATGTCTGCCATAAAATGGGTATAATCTTAGTATTATTTAGATTTCATTCACTTTTGATCAAAACTAATGGATAAAGCTGATTCTCAATACTCTTTTCTTGCTGATTTATAAAAATAAGAAAAAATACAGTTTGAATTTTGTTCTGAGCTGTTTAGCTATGGTCTGACTAGTATATATATATATATATATATATATATATATATATATATACTTTTCATTTAATATTGATTCATATTGTATCACCTCTGATTTAGCTTAAATGTAAATGAAAATTCTAAGATATTATTAGTCATTTCTATATTCCTTACAAGAATTAATACAAATAGGTTCAAAATAAATTTAACTGAATACTACTTATATTTTCATTGCTTAGGACTCTGTATTCTATTTCAGACATGTTCTTGGCTGAATGTATGATCTGACAATTATCTGCTTGTATGGGTAGAAACAATTATTTCATTGGCTTAACTTGTTTATTTGCCTTGTATTTATTGAATGAGTACTATAATGCATGCTTTCAAAATTAATGTTCATAATTTATTACTAACAAATCTGATATTATTGATGTCCTTTAAAAAGAATTCATTTAATATGAATTATAAATTACAATTAAATTAATTAGGTAATTAAATAAAATAAGATATTTAAGTTGAAATATTATATGTGGCAAGACAAGTGGTACTCTATTCAATGTATCAATTTTAACCAGTGAACTGGTTAACTGTGTCTTTGTAGTACCAGTGCCTTCTTACTGTATTACAGTAATACAAGCTATACACTGTGCACTTTTATGCACAAGTTTTTCTCCTTCATGTTACATAAATAAACAAGCTCTTATGGACCATTTGCTTGCCCCTGGTTAGATTATGCAAAGGGGAAATGGAGTTGTTTGAATTTTCATTGCTAAATGTGTCTTGGCCTGTGCTCATAATATTTTAAATCAGTGCTTTTTTTCCCCCAAATCAGCTGGTGAAGGAATATGATAGCTGCAATATAAGGGGTGACTGTGGTAACAGACAAACTCATTAGAAAATAGACTTTATAGTTAACTAAATAAGTGCAGCTTAAATCCTTTATCTTAATAAAATTCTGACTTTTACATACTTGATTTTGTCTTGATAGTATCATGATGATAACCAAGTAGAATAATCTTGTCATCCTTGAGCTTAAATTTCCTTATTTGTAAAACTCTTTCCAGTTCTGAGTCTGTTCTTCTAATACTATTTGCCTTATCTTTAGATGTAATGTGGTTTTAAACTGTAGATGACTTAATATAAACCAAGATACCTGTTTATTCAACTATTACTTGAACCAGTGTAGAAAAATAGAACCTATCCTTTGAAAAACAATCCTTCTTTAGAATCATGTGATACAGATCATCTTAAACTTTTACATCACTGTAAATTCCACAAGTTCTTGGAAATAAACAGATATAACTATTATTAGTTTAGTATTAATTTATGCAAAGGGGAAAATTGGAGTTCTTTGTAGTTCCAGTGAAAAGTGTGTAAGAACACTAAGATATCCTTTTGCTTTTTTTTTTGGACCGGGGATCGAACTCGGGTCCTTGCACTTGCGGGGGCAGGCGGCTGAACCACTGAGCTAAATCCCAGGCCTTCCTTTTGCTTTGTAGTCACAACTATTTTAGATAATGCTCCGTAATGGAATCGATTAGTCAATTTAAAGGAATGCAATTATGCAATTTAAAGGAATGACAAAGTTTGTAAAACTTCTATACATTTTTCAAAATGACTTTAATTAAAACTTCCTAAGGAGCTCTGACTTGAAAATTTTAAATTCTCGATCAAGACACAGGGTGGCGCTGCAGGCTAAGACTATAAACCCAAAAAGCCGCAATAAATTCACCTATTCCTTTGTGTTGCGGGACATAATAAAAACAGCACAAGAAGCGTTGAAAGCCATTACGGATTATCAACGGGTGTATGAAGAGATATACTAAACGAATTTAATAGTAAAAGCAATATCGTGGCGATTCCTACCAGCAAAAAATTAGAATTGAATGTTGCAAGCCTTCGCCCCCCGCCTGTTTTTTTCGATCGCTGAAGGAATTGGATAGAAACACCCGTACTCGAGTATGGAGAAGCTAGGCAGAATTCATCCAAGCAGGCAAGTAAGGGCTTTTATTTTCATGATGTTTTTATCTCGGGTTTGCCTGGAGCCTGTTTGTTATTCTGTGCCAGAGGAAACTGAGGGAGGCGCCTTTGTAGCCCATCTGACCAAGGATCTGGGACTAGGAACAGGGGAACTGGCTGACCGGTCTGCCCAGGTGGTGTTTGACGATGATAAGCAGCATTTGTTGCTGGATCCTCAGACTGGAGATTTGCTGCTAAGGGAGACATTAGACCGAGAAGAGCTATGTGGCCCTATTGAACCCTGTGTGCTGCATTTCCAAGTGTTCCTCGAAATGCCAGTGCAATTTTTTCAAGGAGAATTATGGATCCAGGATATTAATGACCATTCCCCAGTGTTCTCTGATAGGGAAGTGCTCTTGAAAATACCTGAAAACAGCCAGCCAGGGACTGTATTTCCCCTGAAATTAGCTGAGGATTTGGATGTGGGCAGCAATGGGCTTCATAAATATACAGTCAGTCCTAATTCTCATTTTCACGTTCTCACTCGAAATCATAGTGAGGGCAAGAAATTCCCAGACTTGGTACAGGACAAGCCGCTGGATCGGGAGGAACAGGCTGAGTACAGCTTAAGCCTCATGGCTCTGGACGGTGGGTCTCCACCGCGGTCCGGCTCTGTCATGGTTCAAATCCTGATCATGGATGTCAATGACAATGCTCCTGAGTTTGTGCACACCCCATATGAGGTGCAGGTCCTGGAGAACTGCCCCTTAAATTCTCCAATCCTCGGCGTCTCAGCTAGAGATATGGATGCTGGGAATTTTGGGAGTGTCTCCTATGGCTTGTTCCAACCATCAGATGAAATTAAACAAACTTTCTCAATAAATGAAGTCACGGGAGAAATCCGACTGAAAAAGAAACTGGATTTTGAAAAAATTAAGTCTTACCACGTGGAAATTGAAGCCACGGATGGAGGAGGCCTTTCTGGGAAAGGTACAGTAGTCATGGAGGTGGTAGATGTGAATGACAATGCCCCTGAACTTACAGTAACTTCACTCATCAGCCTCATTCCAGAAAACTCTCCTGAGACAGTAGTCTCCATCTTCAAAATTCGAGACAGAGATTCTGGGGACAATGCAAAGATGATTTGCTCTATTCCAGACAATCTTCCATTCATTCTAAAACAGACTTTCAAGAACTTTTACACCCTGGAAACTGAAAGCCCACTGGATCGAGAGACCAGATCTGAGTACAGCATCACCATCACGGTCACCGACTTGGGAACACCCAGGCTCAAAACCCAGCACAACATAACCGTGCAGGTCTCCGACGTCAACGACAACGCCCCGACCTTCACCCAAACCTCCTACACCCTGTGGGTCCCCGAGAACAACAGCCCCGCCCTGCACATCGGCACCATCAGCGCCACAGACAGAGACTCAGGCACCAATGCCCAGGTCACCT